GTGCGCCCCAAAAGATAATGTAAAAAATCAAATCGCCACAAGAGCACACCAAATCACGAATAAGCTTGTTTAATAGATCGGATTGGACCGGCTTTCGACTTTGACTTGTCCAAAATACCAAACGACTTGTGTTTTAAACAATGAAAATTACTATACTGAAAAACCTAAGTATTTTTCTTTAAAGCTCTGCTCGAACGACTTTAGAGGGAGGTTCTAAAGTCATTGTTATACACAAACTCTGGCGAGGACTTTTTTTTCAATAATGGGCATAGGCCCAATTAGTAAGGAGCTTTAAATGATTTTCTCAAAGTATGGGGCAAAATTAAGAGAATAAAAAAGTAGTGGACCTTGAGAAAAGTCATCACCTGCTTTCCTTCCTATGCCACACAATCGTTTTCTTCTGACTGAATATGAGTGAAACACAGAGGATTAGGAGAGAACGTGGAAGAAGAAGCCATGGACCCCTGATCGAAAAAGGCATCACGTTAAAATCTGGTAACATAACCACTAACATTCGTTATTTGTTGTTAATGAACAACAAAACTAAGCCAAGAGAAAACATAATACAAAGAACTAAGACACAAATCAAATACCAAAGACACAAAGACACTAGTAACCAAAAATGAGAAATTTGTTCTTGGTTACTAGTGTGCAGACGAATAATGAGATCAAGAAAGGTGAAAGTAAGACATTAGACAATGATAAGAAAATTGAGAAAATAGAACCGAGTTTGTCGTTTTCAAAATTTATGGATTTTTTTTTTAGAAAGCAGAAATGCTCTATGAGAGTGTTTATGATGTGGAATTCACCTAGATGGATGTTTAGTGTTAGGCATCAAATGAGAAATTTGTTCTTGGTTGCTAGTGTCTTTGTGTCTTTGGTGTTTGGTTTGTGTCTTGGTTCTACGTATTGTGTCTTCTTTTGTTTTAATTTTGTTGGTTGTTCACGACTGATAATAGCTGTTGGTGGTTATGTTAGCAGATTTTAACGTCATGTCTTTTTTTTTCCAGATCAACGTAATCTGATGTCCAATATGTTAGTCAACGTTTGGTTGATGATTAAAATGGCCTCATACGAAGTTCTTGTTTAAAATGACATAAATTTGAAAGTTGGTGATTCGACTAACAGAGTAGTTAATGCTTGATAACGGCTGCTAGTTGTTCTGTTATCAGATTTTAACGTCATGTCTATATTGGCTAGGTCAACGCAGTCTGATGTGCAATACGGCAGTCAACATTTAGTAGATTTTTAAAATGGCTTATTATGAAATTCATGTTTAAAATGACCACAAATTACGGAATCACGTTTTCCGCCAAAAAAATACGTGAATCATTTTTCTCTTTTAATACGTGTATCATTTTTCTCTTTTAATCACGTTTTCCACAATACGGATTAAATGACATTTTTCTCTTTTAAAAACCTTTGTAAATCATTTTAAAACCAAAAATTACGGAATCACGTTTTCCGCCAAAAAAATACGGGAAAATTTAATTTTTTATTTGCAAGCTTAAGTATTTTTCAAATAAGGGTTAAATAGTTATGAAATTAAAAGAGGACAAAAATAAAATTGGCCAGAAAATGGGGTATTTTTGAAAATAGTATTTAAAAGAGGCATTTCTAACATTTCCTCTTGATAATATTAGGATTTCTAAATTTTTTAACATATATTTTATTTTATTACTTTAAAATCATTCAAAATAGTTTGACATGAGATAAAATTATTACGTATGAGATTACAGTTTATATCAATTATATTTAAATTAATGTTGGTTTTCCAAATTCTTTTGTGGATTTTGTTTTTTACTATTATGTTTTCTTAATTTTTGTTTTAATACTATATAACTAATAAATAAATTTGATATAATGCATCTATTCTTTTTAAATTTTTTAACATATATTTTATTTTATTATTTTAAAATCATTCAAAATAGTTTGACATGAGATAAAATTATTACGTATGAGATTACAATTTATATCAATTATATTTAAATTAATGTTGGTTTTCTAAATTCTTTAGTGGATTTTATTTTTTACTATTATGTTTTCTTAATTTTTTTTTAATACTATATAACTAATAAATAAATTTGATATAATGCATCTACTTTAACAAAAAAAAAAGATATAATGCATCTATTCTTTTTATCTAAAATATTTAGCTCTTTTTCGTTAATATGGAATGTATATAATTAAAATCTGGTTTATAATAATAAAATAGTCAAATTGTATTGAAAAATGTAATGTGTAAGACTGAAATCTGGTTAAAAACAAAAATTATCACATTAAATCTTGTAAAAAATGTGTCCACTAGTTTTTTCATTTATTTTTAACCCACGTATTTACGTGGATCTTATCTAGTGATATAATAAGTTAAAGCAATCAAGAAAAAAATCAAACAAAGATAGGAAAATCATAATCATATCTTCGAATTATTCAAATCATTTTTTCATGGTACATAATCTGCAGGATTTATGGCAAAAATCAAACAAAATCTGTTAGTTTTTAAATTCAAAGATATGTTTTCACCCTATAATAATCTCACATAAGTTTCGAAAATTAGAAAAAAAAAATGGTTGCATACGTCAAGAACAACTTTTTATTGGTTCCTATAGTAGTTTTACTTCTTTTTGTTGTCTCATCATATGCAAAATTTAGTACGAAGGTTACAACAAGTGAAATCAGGGGCATCTGCACACACAGAAATGTCAATGCGTCATTTTGCTATGAGTTCATGAAATCATACCCTCAAATTGCAACAATGGATATTTCTGATCTCGCCAAATTTTTGATCAATTATGATTTTCAAAAAACCTTAGATCTGATGAAGCATTTCCAGTCACTCACAAACAGCACAACCGATCGCAGTTCTAAGGAATCCTATAAGATATGTTCAGAGCTTTTTAGCCTTGGTATCCATTTGCTTGAGTCTTCTCTTAAAGCTTTGGCAACCAATGACTATGACACCTTAGACAGGAACGTTAGTGATATGTCTGCCTATGCGGAGGAATGTGGAAGCGAGCTGTCAAGTGTCATCAAGCCTATTCCACAGCTCTTAAAAGGGGTTTCTATTGTCGAAAATGTAGGTCACATTGTTCTTGTAATTTTGGAATGTTTTCTAAGAAAAGAAAAAACTTTCTGTTAAAAATCAGTACCCGAATCTATAATAATAAATTAATAATAATAATAATGTTGTTTGGTATGTTGTTGTTATTACCGATTTACGCTGATAATTAATTGTTTTTGTGTTAAGAAAAATCGAATCCACCACAAGAGCACACCAAATCACGAAAAAGCTTGTTTAATAGATCGGATTGGACCGGCTTTCGACTTTGACTTGTCCAAAATACCAAACGACATGTGTTTTAAACAATGAAAATTACTATACTGAAAAACCTAAGTATTTTTCTTTAAATCTCTCTGCTCGAACGACTTTAGAGTTTAGAGGGAGGTTCTAAAGAAGTAGAACGAAGAAAAAAAAAAGTCATTGTTATACACAAACTCTGGCGAGGACTTTTTTTCCAATTATGGGCATAGGCCCAATTAGTAAGGAGCTTTAAATGATTTTCTCAAAGTATGGGGCAAAATTAAGAGAATAAAAAAGTAGTGGACCTTGAGAAAAGTCATCACCTGCTTTCCTTCCTATGCCACACAATCGTTTTCTTCTGACTGAATATGAGTCAAACACAGAGGATTAGGAGAGAACGTGGAAGAAGAAGCCATGGACTCTATCGTCTCCAGCTCAACGATTCTTATTCGATCATATCTCACTCCTCCGGTCCGTTCATGTTCTTCGGCAACCTCCGTTTCCGTCAAATCTGTGAGCTCAGTCCAGGTCACCTCCGTCGCGGCTAACCGCCACCTGCTTTCCTTAAGCTCCGGTGGTAGAGGAAGCAAGAAATTCTCTAGTTCGGCGATAAGATGCGGCGGAATCAAAGAGATTGGAGAGAGTGAGTTTTCGAGTACGGTTCTCGAATCAGACCGGCCGGTTTTGGTTGAATTCGTCGCTACTTGGTGCGGTCCCTGCAAATTGATCTATCCCGCTATGGAAGCCTTATCTCAGGTTTGATATATCGATTCTCTCTTTTTAATCATCAGTCTGC